AAGGCCGAGTGCAATTTAAAGCTTGTTGTTTATGCATTTTCCTATTTACATTTAAAACTAGTCTTGCGTGCTAAGTACAGTACTGAATTATTCTATTTTCATTAAAAAAAAGTATAATTTAATTCAATTCTTTAAAAAAATTAATTTCAATTCTAAACTTAGGTTATATTCATATGATTATGAAACATGATTAAAAATTTGATTCTGCGATATGACTTGTATGATTATCAGTAAAATGAAAAGGTGTGAAGTTTGAGTCGAGGCCGAGCGAAGCAATGCCAAGAAATATACTGTAGAATAAATTGAACTTGAAAAAAGTCTAAGTGAAGCAGGGCCAAAAGCCATACAAAAAAATTTGACTGTGATGTAAAAAAAAGAAATCAAATTTACAAAAAGATCAGTGAAGTGAAACTGAGGATTGTCATTTATGTGCTTTCCTATTTATATTTAAAACTAGTATTGAATGGAGTTATTTTATTTCATTAAAAAAGAGCTAATTTAAATTTTTTAGAAAAATTTATTTTCGAATTCTTTTACAAATAAATACCCAAATTAGTATCAGTAATTTGTAACATCATGTTATATACAGTATTATGACATGACCTTCAGCAATCAGCTATCATCCGTATCTTGACAGATAACGAAAATTATTGTCACACCATCTATCTGCTGACACTAATTATTAGCTGAAATGGGCAGCAAAGCCGTCCGCGAGTGCAATTTCTAGTTATTACCTTAAAATAATTGCCTTTACTTTTCCATGGACGAATCTAGAGCTTCTTTGCTTCATATATCATCGTTCATGTCAACGTTCTTGATGATCAATTTATTACTAGTCATTATTTAAAGCTGTTCTTTTGGTAAACTGCACGTATTACTCGAATAAACCATTAAGAATAATTAAGCCTTCCATAAAGCTTCGTTTATTTCCAAAACTTTATTTTCTTGATTTTATACTTTCATTTTCGCCGTTCAGTACATTTCAACTTAGAAATATCTTTTGCATTAACTATTTGAATTCGTTATGAGGTTTAGAGGCTTTACAGCAAAGCAATAAGAATGTGCTAAAGATAATTCCCTTCTAATCAAACACGAGTATACAAGAATTACTTTAATCTAATAACAACAACGAGAATATTATTGTATACACAAATTCATACCCCAGATCTGAGACAGTATTTACATCCAAAATTTTTTTGGACATCCATATTCATGTCCAAGCTCTGAATATCTAAATATTAAATAAATATATATATATACGTTTATCGAATTGCCCTTCAAAAAAATTTTTACTTAATAACAATACTGTAATAAAATTTTCCAAACAACAGCACTAGTTATACAAATCTATCGACATCACATTTTTAATATGTCCATCTTTTACCCTTGCGATATTGGGAAGATTTGCCTTGACGATGCTGAGGAAAATCTGCATCAGCCAATCGGCGGCTAAGCCGGTATTACTTTCGTAATTTAGCTTCGCCACACAGCTCTTAATATACCTGATATTATAATTAAGGGATCAATAGTATCATTGACGAGAGCATTAGTGATGTGATGTTGAATAACAGAAGTAGGTTGGCATGTATCAGACAGATATAAAAGCATGTATTCGCCTTTGGTATTTCTTTAAATTGTCTATCACTTATGAATAGTCTTCTGAGTGATTTTTTGTTTCCGAGTGAACCCTCTTTATAATTTATAAAATCTTTCGGGAAATTTAGGAAGAGACATTCAAAAAAGTCACTAATTTTGGTCGAATGCATCAGAAACATAATTTCGGTATCACCTTGAATAGACACTAAATGATCCTCCGCTACGCTCTGATCAATCAATATTTGTTTGCCATCCTGAGTTATCTTGGCACCTGTTGACCTTGACGCTCTCTCGACTTGACGGTTACACCGACTTACAATACTATTTTATAGAGTTTGGATTTAAATTTATTATATTAGGTTAGGATGAAACTCGCGCTAAATTCTTGTAAAATCCTCTTTATCGTCAGGTTAGGGTGAAAATCCGCGTTAAACTCTGGTGAAATCCGCTTTAATCGTCAGGTTGTGAAATTCGCATTAGTGTAAAGTTTTTATGTTAACGCAAGACTCCGCCCTATGTTTTCTTCATAACAGCTTCAGTTTGTTGTAATATATTTATTTATATTTATCTTGAAAGCATAATTTTTGTGACTAATCGGGCTTGCAAAATGTATAAATATCGCCTTTTTTTTTCCTTTGTATTATATTTAACATCTCCGAAAATAAAAAATATATATAATAAAAAATAATCCTCAAAATGTTGTCAAAATTTCATTTAATTTTTATTACCATTTTAGCTTTTATTATTACAATTATTATCAACCCTGCTCTTACCGCACCTGTGGATAAACGTCAAGGTATAACTGAATGATGAATGTAAAGAAAGCATCCATGCCTATAGATTACTAATTTGAAATATTAGTTTCGTGTTATACGATAAACAATTATATAATGTAAGTGTATAAATATATTTTTAAAAATATTATCTTTATTTGTAACATAATATTTATTTTGCTTAATATTATCTTAAACTTTATATACTTAAAAAAGTTATTATTATTATTATTATTGCTATTATCTATAACAAGAACTCTTTATGTCACTTACTATTTGTAATATTTGGATTAATTATAAGAGCTCATGATATTGGAATGAATAATTTGTATTATAATTCATGCTTTCACATAACAATCCTTTATAATAAATTTTATATAATTATCTATAAATAAGGTTTTTATGTCTTTTATTTTATTATTATTATTATCTTGTTATGCATTCGACCTATCGATTATATGAAACTACAAACTTTTATTTGATAAGCATTTGGTTTTAATTTAAAAAAAAGTTAAGTTTTTTATAGTAGAAATTTAATACAAAAGTTTGACGTAAAATTTAAGTATTTGAGAGATTTGCGATAAGAAACGTAATGGCAAATGACACTCTTTATTAATACTTAAATTTCGCGTAATGTTATATATGTTTGCATCAGAATAAATTCTAAGTTGACATAAATTGCAATGAATTTATAAAAAACTTGAATTCAATTTCTACTTAATATAATAAATATATATTATTAATCAGTGTTATCAACTGGACTACACTGAACTTATTCATTAACTATAGTTGCGCATAATTGTCATGGGAGATTCTCAAAAAACCTTCGATCAAAGTTAAAAAATTCAATGGAATTTTTCTTGAACTTGTGCGATATATCTTGACAACCATCAACTCAATTTTGATAAACTTTTCTTTTTTATTTGAATTCTGTATCTGCAGAATTCAAATAAAAAAAATTCACCAAAATTTGATTGATAGTTTTCGAGATATATTCGTTCAAAGTTTGAGAAAAATTTCTATTTGAAAGACTTGAGTTTTTTAAACAGGTCAAATTTGATGAAATTTTTTTTTATTTGAATTTTTGGGAGACATAGAATTCAAATAAAAAATTATCAAATTTTGATTTAGTATTTTATGAGATATCTTCACTCAAATTATGAGAAATTATGGTGCAGCTTCTGTTTTGATAAGTTTTTGAGCGAAGATATCTTTACAAATACCAAGCCAAATTCGGTCACTTTTTATTTAATTCTACAGGTCTGTAAAATTTAAATAAAAAAATTCATCAAATCTGACTTAGCGGTTGTCGAGATATCTTTGCTCAAAGTTTGAGAAAATTTTATTTGATAGATGTTGAATTTTTTAAAACCTTTGAGCGAAGATATTTCGACAACTATTCGTCGTTTTTTTTTTTTTTTGAATTCTAAATGTTCATAGAATTCAAATAAAAAAATGGTTATTGAATTTAGTTTAATATTTGATGAGGTATCTTTATTCAAAGTTGAGAAAGTTTATCGCTTTTGATATATAGACGTTGAATTTTTTAGAACTTTGAAACATTGAGTGAAGATATCTTGACAACTATCAAGCCAAATTTGATAATCGTTTTTTTATTTGAATCCTACAAATTCATAGTGGTTATCGAGATATCTTCGTTTAAAGTTTGAAAAAATTTTGACGCAATTTATATTTGAGAATTTTTTAAAATTTTGAAAGAAAATATCTCAACAGCCACACAACCAAATTTAATAAACTTTTCTTAATTTGAATTCTACTAGTTTGTAGAATTTAAATAAGAAAGTTCATCAAATTTAACTTGGTGGTTATCAAGATAACTTCGCTAAAGTTAAAAAATTAAGAAATATAATACAAGAAAAGGCCTGAAATTTTCCATATTAGTTAGCTGCACAAACAACAGCTCTTATATATTACTTGATAAAGCAATGAAAAAGCGAAAGTAGAAGAGGAATTTGGGGGATTTTTATTTGTTAGTAAGAAATTTAGATTTATTCGCAAAAAAAGCCTTAAAATTGGGAAATTTTGAAGATTTCCATGTGATCGTCAATAATTTGAAAAGAGTGATAAATAATTTAACAAGAAAGTCATCTAATAATAATTTCATAAATTTTGCTAATTAATTCACTTGGTTTATCAAAAGGATAAAAGAGGCATCAACATTATTGTACAGTGAAGATACATAAATTAGATCAAATATGAATTAATTATCTCCTTTCTCGAGCAAGTCTTTTTATTGAAAAAATAATTCAGGTTCGTATATTCACATAATGATCATCTCTTAATATAGTAAATTCATGAAGGGTAGCTCGAAATTTCTCATACTAATAAAAGTCAATTGCGAGATAGATTTCGAAAGCGACTTTTAGAAATAAAAGTATAGTATTTAATAAATTAATCACGAAAGTCGGAGATATTGGGTGATTAAAAAAATATGAATATATAAATCTATCTTAAAACCTCATTAATACGCTCATAATGCATAACACGGAGATATAATCAGCATACTCAAAATTAATAAACTGTTATCAGAACAGCTTAAATACAGTTTTTTTAATTTTGTATCTTAAAAATTGTACCAATAAATAAAGAAAAATTCAAAATTTGTAAATACTAGACAGCAGCAATAGATGTATTAACAAATCCAGCATAAAAACCTTCTAATTTTTTAATTGCCAAGTTACGTTTGGTTGATAATTCCAAATGCTTTATCGTTCCTGTCTCCGTGCTGCATATGTAGTATAGATCCCCACTTTTATCATTGGGTATGTTATCCACACAAGCTCCGTATAGTGAATTTCCAGTATTTCGTAGTAATAAAGCTGCTGTCTGGCTTGAAGTTCC